TAAACTTTAGACCCTTGACTAGGAAACCATTGTCTATTGAATGGTCAGGTGACTTTCCAATTTTCCCCACAGCAATGATTTCTCCTTTGCTGTTGTCTCCAAACGTCACCTTTCCACCACTAAATGGCCGTAGTGAGAGGAATAAAGATTTATCTCCTGTCATGTGCTTAGAACAACCATTGTCAAGGAACCAGTGATTGTTCCCCCTCACTCGGCGCTGTTCCGGGATTAAGGTTTAGTGCGTGGAACCCAGACCTGCTTGGGTTCCATTTTATATTTGTTTGAGGAATATTTACTGAAATTTAAGCTTCTCTCTAAGGCTTGTTGCCGAGAGTGACATTGATACCTAAGATGTCCGTCTTTGCCACAATGCCCGCAAATTCGGCTATCATATGTATCAACATATTTGGTTTTCCAATTTCCGAAAAAATCTTTGCCCCTTTTATAAAATTCCCGGTTAGGTGTTTGTCCATAACCTGTTTTGTATCTTTGAACCAGTTTATCGAACCAGGTTGGTCCAGTTCTAGATTGTCTTTGGTACGGCCTAGAACTGGTTTGTCCTCTAGTTCTATTACCATAAAAGGGTTGGTTCTGAAAACTCGGTTTTTGATTCATTTGAGTGTCTCTTGGAATATATCCGAGACCAGCAGTCTCGTTTTCCTTTCTTTTGTACCGAGAGGGTCCAGTTCTAGAATGCTGTCTAGACCTGGTTCTTACCTTGGTACTATATGGTTGGTAATACGGTTTGTTTTTGAAATCCTGTCTCTCGTCCTCAAGGCGATTGAGATGATTAATGAGCAAGGCAATGTCCGGAATTTTTCTTAGAAGTTTTTCTTCATCATTAACTTGTTTATTCATACTATCGAGCTTGAGTGAGAAAATGAGATTATCTTGTTCTAAAACTACTTCACTATACTTGAGTCTTTCATCTATTAACTCTCCCACTTTTGTTTCTAGCCTTATCTTGGCTCTAGTGGCTTCCTCGAGTTTAGACTCAAGTTCGGTGATTTGTGATTTAAGATGATCGTTTTCAGAAAGACTTTGATTTAGCTCGATAGTTAATCTTTTAAAAATTTCCGAACCTTGCCTTTAGAAAGGGAATCAAATTTAGAAAGAAAGCTTTCCAAGTTTACCTCGAAATTCTCTTGGTCGGATTCTTCATCGGAATTCGCCATGAGGCACAATCCTGCATGATTTAGGCCTTTTTCTTCTTCTTCTTCTTCTTCTTCTTCATCATCGGATGAATCTCCCCAAGCTGCCATCATTGCCTTCTTGAGGTCTCTGTTGAACCCTTTATCATCACTGGACCGTCGGTGAGAGCTGGTCTTGTTCTTGTCGTAGGTTCTATCATTTTTCTTTTGAGGACAATCTTTTGCCCTGTGCTCAAAGGATCCACAAACAAAACAACCTTGGTTATTAAAAGATTGAAACCCTTTCTTACCTTGCTTGTTCCGGTTGCCTTTAAACTTTCGGTACATCTTTCCGAATTGCTTAGCAAACATGCTCATTTCGTCTTCCGATTCACTTTCAGAATTTTCTTCTTCCTCTCGAGCCTTGAGAGCAATTCCTCGCTCCTTCCTCACATTTTCGGCATCTTGTTCTTCTTGAAGGCCTAACTCATATGTCATGAGCGAACCGGTTAGGTCTTCTAACGACATGGTGGAGAGATCTTTGGCTTCTTCTATAACCGTAGTTTTGGGCTTCCATGCGGAGGGCAAACTTCTCATAACTTTTCTCACTTGATCTTCCACAATTATATCCTTTCCAAGTGCTGAAAGCTCATTTATAATATTAGTAAAGCGTGTAATCATATCCCTAATTGACTCTTTAGGTTTCATCACGAACCGTTCGTAATTACGCATAAATATGTCAATTTTGGATCTTTTTACACGCGAAGTACCTTCATGTGTAACCTCGAGTAAATCCCACATTTGTTTTGCGGATTTGCATCCAAGAACACGGTTGTGCTCAGCCGGACCAAGTCCACAGATCAAATATTTCAATGCTTGGGCATTATGCTCGAGTTTACGATAATCATCAGTAGTGAATTCAGATTTGGGTTTAGGAACAACTTTGCCTTCGGAGTCCACCTTAGTAATGACATTATCACCTGCCTCAATTACATTCCATACCTGATAGTTCTCAGCCTTGATGAAGTTTTCCATTCGACTCTTCCAGAATTGGTAAAATTTGCCGTTAAACAACGGTGGTCGTTGAGTCGAATATCCTTCCTCCAATCGTTCAACCGTATTCATGCTGCCAGATCTCTTCCCGAGGTATTAACCTTTATGCGGTGAAGACCGGCTCTGATACCAATTGATGAAACGGTTAACAACACAAGAGGGGGGGGGGGGGGGGGGGGGGGTTAATTGTGTGTGTGTGGAACCGTGGCAGTTTTTCGCACAGTTCTAGTGTGGGGTCCAGGGAATTACTAAATAGTAAAGTGCACAAGGATTTAACGAGGAAAAATCCCTTGGCTCAAAGGGATTAAAAAACCTCGACCTCCCTCGGAGGAATTTTCAACAACTTCACTAATAAGCCTTTTGTGGTTACAAGGTAAATTCTCTTAATCTACCCTTGAGTCACCCCAACTCTATCCCCTCTAGGAAGAGTTATGCATCTCTACCTTGCGGGTAGAGAGTCACTCAGCTTTACAACAAAGCTCTCACACACACGACCCCAACCTGAGGAAGCTACCCTTAAGCTTTTCCTCAACCTTCAATTACACAACAAGTAAGAGAAAAGAAACTATATCTAGAACTCTATAAGCAGGTCCAGTTGCCTTGGTCTTGATACTCTCTTATAAGTATTTCTTTCTTTTATTGTTCGGTCAAGCACACTGCATTTCTCTTTGGCTGCTTCGTTTATATAGGCTGTCTTGGGCAGGCCGTTTAAGCATCCTTCTTGAATAGTTGATCTTCTAATCTTGGGACTTGCCTCAATATTTTGAATTACTTTCCTTCTTTATAATATTTCCCATATCCGAGCTCAATATATAAGGCAGTCGGATTAAATATCTTAATCAGGGTAGCATATCAGTCCTGGACTAAGAATACATACAAACAGCTCATCCATCTCTTGAGTGATCAATTAATTACCAAATAAGGCAGACTTCGGTCAATATTCAAAAAGGTAGGAATATTTTTCTCAATATAAGCAAGCAACGGATTAAGAGAATAATTACTCATATAGGGAAAGCATAGCAATAGAAGAATAAGTAGGTGCAATCCGTATTAATTCAAATTATATTACGGACTTAGAAATGGAGCTGTATTAGTTCCTCCTGCATGGTTAGTCAATCAAATTAATAATATCCATTTGTTCTTTGTTACGCAAGGAACTGTGAGCGGTTCTATCCGACGTTCCCCCTGTATGGTTAGTCATCAACAAAACAATCATACTTAACAAGTTTCCAAATGAGCAATGATATAAAAAACATAATCTTTGTTAATTAGTTGAACATCAAAACATGATGGCTGAGCATCAGACCCCCTCTATTGAGTATCAAAAGCATACAATTGAGTATCATGATCTACTTCACACTTATATGACATTTTTAAATGAGCATAAAACCAGTACTTAATGAACAAACGTACTTTACAAAATGAGCATCGCAAAATACAAAAGTTCGTTCGAATTCTCTAATGTAACATAGTAATAAAAAATATAGTAATTTTATATTAAAAATAATTTATAGTCTTTCATTCTTGAATTACAAATATAATCAGGTTCTATTTATAATGTTTAGTTATGATATCTGCATTAATATGACATTTTAAAATGAGCATAAAACCAATTTCAGATGAACATATGTAACTTACAAAATGAGTATCCAAAAATTCAAAAGCTCGTTTGAATTCTCTAATGTGTTCAAATGTTCATTTGTGTTCAAATGTTCATTTGTGTTCAAAAGTAGTTTATATAAAAAATAATTTATAATCTTTCATTCTCGAATTACAAATATAATCGGATTCTTTTATAATGTTTTAACCATGCATATTTATTTTTATTTTATACTATACTCATTTTAGTATAACACAAAACTCACGTTAGTTATTAACACACAATATTTAATAAACTAATAAATATTCATTTTAAATTAAAAATAGAAAAATAAAGCATTAATACCTTAAATATTTTATAATGCATAAATAAAAAGATAGAACTTAAGTTGGAAGTTTGATTGGAGAAAGAAAAAATAAACTAAAACATTTAATAATATTTTATATTACTCCGTATAAATTTTCATAATAATTGGATATATAACATCAAAGTAAGACATTTTTTACAACCAAGTAAAACATTGTTAAAGAAATAAAGAAAAACAAAGAAGAAAACAACAGGTTAAAGCAACGGAAAGAAGAAAAGAAAAAAGACAAAAGAAAAGAAAACGAGAAAACCAACCAGCAGTGCACTAACGAAAAAATTAAAAGAAAATGACAAAAGAAAAAGGTAAGGAACGATCAAACGGAAAGAGAAGTCGGCGGAAGAAAGAAAAGCTTGCGAACTTAAGCCTGCGAAAATTACCGAACCGGCCTAATTATTACCCTGTAAACTACAATTAATTACCAAAATGCCGGTTGTACCATGCTCATGGTACAGCCGGCTGTACCATATAACGGCACGAAAATATTTTACTAATTGATTTCCAAAACATGAAATGAATAATAAGAAGTATAGATTTTGATCCACATATAAAAAAGTATAAATAAAAAGACAAAAAGGAGCAATGCCTAAAATATTTTCCGATGACAAACACATAAAAGTCTTTCCAAGGAAGGAAATGTTTTTATATGCCAAAAGCCGGAAATCGGTAAAGCTTTTTCCAAGAAAACAAATTTTTTTAGAGTACATGGTTGAAGAAAACTCTAGGCTAAAAAATTGATCAGCAGTGGAAATAATTTGGGACTAATATAATGGTATGTACAAAAAGGATTTAACCAACTGTAAACACAAAAGAGGAGAAAATGAGTTTGATGATCACGCGAAAACTTCATCAATTAAAACAGATAAGCCGTTTTCACATTAATTTATTACCAAGAACAAAAAAGAAAACAAATACTTGAACATAGAATTCATCCACTATTATGTCTTTGCTGGGCTTCATCGCCCACACGTGACAAACACGAGCACGCATGCCCTCGAATTGTTTAATAAGTAAACATTGTTCAAATATCATGAGCAAGTTAATCTTTGAAAATTGAAAATAGGAATGGAAGAACGAACCAAGTCTTCCTTATTGGATGATCACCCTAGGCAAAGGTGCATGTAATAGGACTCTAGCAAAGAAAACAAATACTTGAACATAGAATTCATCCACTATTATGTCTTTGCTGGGCTTCATCGCCATATGCCAGTAAAAATGGAAGCAGCTATGCAAGAATCTGTCCTAAACATTGCATACAACTTTGAAAAAAGTTGATGCAAAACTCTTTCAGAAAAGTAATGCGATGACAAAAACTTGTGGGGGTCTTTACTTTTACTAATTCACAATTTCTATCCCAGTAAATGGTGACCCTTTATGAAGCTGAAGAGCAACATCTCCTACAATCTGGAAAGCAGTATAACATAAATATCAGGAAAGTAATATATTACAAATATCATAAGACAGATTGACAGAAAGTGATCAAAGTTCTGCAAGTGTTTTCTACTTCGGAAGGTCAACTATCTTGATTAAGACACAAACCACATTTTGGGGAAAGAAAATAATAATATGGAGGAAAATCGGCAGGAAATAAACTTTGGAGCAAAATAAAAGACAAGAAAATCAGGAAAAGAAATATGGAGGAAAATGGAGAGGACAATTGGAAGGAAAAAAAACCTGGGGAAAAATAAAAGATACACTCAAACTCAATAATTTTAAGGAGAGTACTTTTTCAAAACACACTTTCTTAATGTATTGCTACTATACAGACTAAGAGATTTTAGAATATGCAAGAATTAAGGAACGTAATTTTATTATGTTTGGATCTACATTGGAAAATGAAACATCTGCATATATATTTGTTTTGAAATCATTCAATTTATTTAGATATTTTTGTCTTTACACCATACGTAATAGATAAAATAAATAAAAATGGGTATTAAGAAATCTCTAAAATAAACATATCAAGTTCTCAACGTTTTTTCATTCACATTTTCCTCTATTTTTTCTTCCCTGTTTTATTTCAGTAGTATTTTTTCAAAAAGACCCTTCCATCATATGAAAGGATTGTATCCTATACCCTATACACTTTCATCTACCAGCCTCAGATATAACTTTGACATTTTGATTACCCAACACCAGTGGGAAAATAAAGCAAAAGAGAAATAATAATAATAATAATAATCATAATAATATCTAGGAAAAAGGGGCAAATAAGCCCACGTACTAACCAAAAAAAAGGTCAAATCAGCCCTTATATCGGAGGTTCTGTTCGGCCGTCGCCATTTAGGGCAGTTCCCGGTGGATTTTTTTGATGATTTTTTTTTAGAATCTTATTCATTTGGGAAGACATTCAAATAAATTCTTGAAGATAACTGCGCTTTTAACTGCGCAGTTATCTTCAAGAATTCATTTGAAAGCCATCCCGATTGAAGTTTTAGCTGAAATTTGGTATGAGTAAACTAGACTTGATGAATAATATGCTCAAAAAATTGCATCAAAAATTTCCACCGGGAACCGCCCCAAATGACGACGGCCGGACATAGCCTCCTATATAAGGGCTTATTTGACCTTTTTTGGTTAGTACGTGGGCTTATTTGCCCCTTTTTCCTAATATCTAATAACAACAACATCAACAATAATACAGATTAATAAGTTTAAAACAGCAACAACAATAACAGTAATAATAATAACTTGATCAATGATCCATTTAAAATCCGCGTTCGAGATGTACCTTGGCCATGCTCCTATATGACAACTCAGTGACGCCTGCAACATGGGGTGTGAGAATGACATTTGGAAAGTTTAGAATGGCATTTTCAGGATCAAATGGTTCAGTCCAAGCAACATCCATTCCTAAACCTCCCAAGTGTCCACTTTTCATATGATTAAAAACAGCATCATAATCCAAGACTCCGCCCCGAGCTATATTAACCAGCATAGCACCCTGACAAAAGGTGTAGAGAAAAAACCATAGTATTTATTGATGTATACTCACACGTGATATATATACAAATATTACTCATAGCAATGGTTCTACATCAATGAGGGTGAAGAACAGATGTTTTTTTAACAAAGAACGTTCTTTAACGGGCTACAGGCTTCACTGTACCTTTCTCATTGAAGATAAGAAATCATCATTCACTATCCCAGCCTGCTTGAATAGAGCATTATAACAATCAATTTCACTAAAGCATAGGGCGGTATTTGGAACTCCGAAATTTGCAGGGAAATGAAAAACAAAATGTAAAGGAAAGTAATTTGACTATGTTTTGATTTGCCTTGGAAAATAAGAAGTAAAATCAAAACAGACTAAAATATTTTGAAATTTTACATGTATTTTGGGTTCATAGTCTTTATGTAATTGAAATAAATAAACATAATGAGTTGCTCACATATCTGAATGAGATTGAACCAATTTCGGGTTCAAATTCAACTAGTTTATTTCCAATATTAGTTTTATTTCTACTATATACTCCCTCCGTTCTTTATTAATTGTCCTACTAGGTTTTTTGCGGTATGTAAGGAGAAAATAGTAGGGGTAATATAGACTGTGGCAGGGTTTTTGGTAAAATGATAAAGTAGGAAAGAATGTATTAAGAAAAGTAATTAAGTGGGTGTAGAAGAAAAATATTGAAAAAGTATGAAAGCGAACACACTAAGAAAAGTAATTAAATGAGTGGCGGGGGGAATTACTGAAAGGTTAGGAAAGAGAAAGTAATTTGCAAAATGTACAAAAGTGATGGTAATAAAAGTGAGGGCATGAAGGTATTTTTATAGAAAAAGCTTACTGAAAAGGGAAAGATGGACAAATAATAAAAAGCTTCCCAAAAAGGTGTATATGACAATTAATAATGATCAGGAGTAAATACTATGCAATCCTAAATAGGCTAAATATATGCCAAAAAATTAAAAACATTGATATTTCTTTTTCCTTTTTTTGAAAATGAAAATAAAATAACTTCCCCTCGTATTTCTTTCATTCCCCTAGCATTTTCTGGGATCCAAACAAAGCCTATAAACAAAGCAAGTTTTATTTAAAAAGGGAATCTCACAGTTTCCACATTCATGGTTAAGCAACAGACAACAATGTCGGCTTTTCTAGCAAATTTCAAAATATCAGCATGGCTTCCCTTTTCGTCTACCAGGTCACCATCAATGCAATTCGCTATGTGTACTGCTAAACAATACTTACACAAGAAGTCATAAAAGACCACCATGGGGTAATTTATACTCCTACGGTAACAAAAAACAACCTAATGAAGTAATGAGATGTCTTACAATTTGTCCCATTAGAGTTATTCAAATGTGATGGCCAACTCCGTTTCGTAGCAAGTATTCTCACATCAAATGGCCTCAATCGTTTTGCCAATTCAATCCCAATATTGCCATATCCCATAATGAAGACCTATAATGAACGCGGGGAAAATTATTAAGGTTTAGGATTCTGCCTTAAAAAGCTAGAATGTTTATATTAGTTTGTTTTTTTATATTTCATCAATGCGGATGATTTGCCAAGATTTGGGAAGGACAAATTGAGAGAAAGGATCAATCAACATGTTCATTGTTAGGATTCCAGAAAAATAAATAAAAAAGGTAGTAAATTTTGGAGAAATGAGCTCACCGTTTTGCCTAGGAGGGTCTCACCAATTGGTTCTCCAAGCCTTTTCTGCTCTATAGCAGTTTGCATTTCGTGCTGCAACAGTAAAATGTTTTGAGGCAAGTTTATACAGAACGTCCATGATGCATGTACATGAGCGGGGGCCAAGGTAGGCCCAAGCCCACCCCAAATTTGTAAAAATGTTTAAATAGTACTTTAAAAAAAATATTGTTAAGCTTTTTCAAAAAAAAACTTTGTATCGGCCCAGCCCAATTTGGGCCCCTGGTTCTTCCAATAGAGCCTTTAAAACATAATGTTACATTTCCAAATTCCAATCAAAATCACTTTGTACCACTACTGTCCATACTGCTTTAAGTAGACCACGGTTTATCAAAAGAAAATCTTATTAAAATTGCTTTTCACAAAAGTACATCCAGACAAGTCCAAAATGTCCCATGTTTTTTCCCTTGTATTCACTTTGGATAAGAAAATTAGATACACCAACCTGTTTACGCAATAGGCCCAATATCAAATATATGGCCATTTCAGCACATGAAGTTGCATTTCCAGTTAAACCCCCAGGGATTCTAGCAACCTTAATCCCATGGTTTGAGGCAGCATTGATGTCAACACCTTTATCAAATGGAGAGAGGTGGACCAATGTTCAATGACATTAACCACATAGTCTATGTTTGGAAAAACAGTCGGATAAAGTAGTTGATAGCTAATATGTCAAATTGAACATTAATGGTAGCTAGTTGATAAGCTAAGTACATGGTTGAACAAATTGGATTACAGTAACTTTACTAACTTATTATTATTGGTTTCATAATACTGGTACACTAGTTGTTTTAATATAGCCATATGCTCATATAGGACTTGGTGAATATTAACTGATAAAATTAACAAGCTAGTTAATCCATTCTTATTTGTGATCGTCAACTATTTGATCCTTAGTGCAGAATTTCTTAAACAAGAATGTCCCACAAGAATGGATCCTCAGTTCATATAGGTGATCGCTTACAATTATTAATTAACTAATTAATATTTCAACAAGAGTCCCCCAACTATGAATCCATTCTTGTTTGCGATTCTCAGCTTTCACGAATAAGGATTTCTTACTACTTAGGTTATTTCTTGTCAATTGTATGGCAAAAAGTGGAAATGTTTATTTTAAGTTTAACAAACCTTAAGATTTTATTCATTAACTAATGTTTACATACACGTCTATTGTTAAAAATTATGAGAACTAACCGTCCAGCCCAACTCCATACTGCATTATAAGTTTCATCCTCTTTGCACTAGAGATGAGATCAGAATTTAGTTTCATGTTTTTTACAACACAGATATCATAGTCTCCAATCACAGCAGGCACGTTGTCAAGGGAAACATCGTCAACCTATAAAGCAGTACATTGTTGTCTAGGAAGGTCAAATTTGTATAACAGGCTAAAAACTATTGCAATATTTTGGAACTATTATCAGGAATAATAACCTATAACTTGATACTACCATTGCCCAACTTAGTAGGCCACATTTCACTTTTCAAAAATTTGACAAATAACTTAATTTTATGCAGAATGTGATTGATAATGAGAAAGTAATATAAAAATTGTTCTCCTGTTAATAATTTAGTCAAAGTTCAATACCTTTGACCATAAAAGTCAAAGCTGGCCTAAGAAAGTGGGATTGACAGAGTGTGAAAATCAATTTTAGCAGTTTCTTTTAATAAACTTTTTACCCAACAGGCAATTTTATCATATTGTGGTATGCTTAGACAAAAATAAGTAAGTCTCTTTAAAAAAATACATCTAGATTGAACAAGAAAAGTGGAAGCCCTCTTTCATATATTTGGAGTTCACTCAAAACCAAGCTTCATCCATGACCAGAATGACCTTAACATAAAAGGTAGATATTTGCTAAAAATCCTCACCATAACACAGTGCAACTTGTAAGTGTCCATTTCATGTGATTGTTAGAGTCTGTTTGGAATTCGGAAAACGCTACGGAAAGAAAAAAAGAAGGAAAATAGAGGGAAAATTGGAAGGAAAAGAAAAGTAGGGACAACTAAAACAGGTTGGGATTAAATCTCAAATTTAGGTATTGATTCGAACTCATTATACTTATAATATATGAAGACTGAAATCTAAATATATGTACAATCTTAAAAAGGTGTAATTTTAAATTCTTTTAATTTCCAAGATAAACCCAAACATTACAAACCATGTTCTTTTGCCTTATTTTTTCCTTTCCTGCCACTTTCCAGTTCCAAACATAGCCTTATTGTATGATACTCACATATGCAAATTCAACCATTGAGTATTTCCAAATAATAAATAAGCGCAGGGAAAAAAATATCACCTTTATAAATGGATAACCTTTCACATATTCTCTTGTATAATTGTGAGATGCGGGGAAATGGGGCCCGCAAAAGAGAACACGAGTAGTGCGACTACTGGCAAGGTCGTCCATTGCTAGAACCTTACCAAAAGTGCCAACACCTACAAAAATGTAGCTTGTGTGTTAAACTGTTAACAGTTTAGATTAAATATATCCAAAAAATGAACATGTACAAAGTACTCCTATTAATTAAAGTCTGGAATAGTGGAATGATCCTTTGGTCCATAGAAACTTGATTAGCTCTTCCTATAATTTCCTCCAACAAATCGCTAGAAAGAAAATTTAAGTAAACACACAAAAAAACTAGCCGGATTAAATGGGATTTTTTTGAAGGAGTTTAACCAAATTTTCTCAGACCAAAGATGTAATCAAACATGAGTATCACTTCCTCAACATATAATTGGACATTCTCTTGCGTGTTTGGCCTATAATTTATAGGCCACAGAACACTGAAAACCTAAAAAGGTAATTACAACTCAAATAACAGTGAAAGGTTTCTTTATGCAGATGTTTCACAATCGAGACTTGTAAGAAAGCCTCTTCTTTTTTATAAGCTGTGGCTGTCTGGCTGAGCTGAAGATAAATCATGGAAAATAAATCATTAGTCTACACTCTACAGGAAAAAAAAGGAAAAACTGCAGTAGCCTAAGATTGATGGTCTAAATAGCACATCAAAGAGGCATTGGTCTAAGTAACACACAAGAATAATGAAAGCTTTAGAAGTACCATAGAACAAAAATTGAAGCGTGCTCCAGTGGCAGAGCAAGAAAATTATCTCAAAGGTGGTAAAAAATAGTAATACACACGATTAAAACAGGTCATTTTGAGATAGACATTTGAGTTGAATCATTTATAATGTGGATCAGGTAAAAGTGAGTTTAAGTAAAACATTTGATATATGTAACATTAGTTCAAAATGAATAATGAGAAAACAAGAAATCAGTTTTAAAAAAGTAATCATAAAGTTAGAATGTGATTGAAACCGTTATGTATAAACTTACACCATATAAATTATGAGTATGGCATTTAACTCTGCCCCGTGCGCATAAATCAAATTCTAAAGCTGTTTTCTCAATGGACTGTGCATAACATCCAAAGTTCTACGAAATGTATATCAAATTCTAAAACTGAGTATCTCGTCTTAATGTTTAGAGTGTACATAACATCCGAAGTTCTTCAAAATCGAGAGGAAATTGGTAAATAATCTCAAATTTTATCTATTTCATTGTCTCTATAGCTGATGATAGACATAAACTTCATCCTTTCTTTTTTAGTTACAACCTTTTCAATTTTGACAATGAACATTTTAGACATATACTTAGGGGTGTTTGGACTGATTCTGCTTCTTTTTCTGCTTCTTTTTTAAAGCAGAAGCAGAATCAAGCCGGTACCCCAGCTTCTAAAAAAACTGATTCTATAGGTAAATTAGAGCACCCCTGAAAGAGCAGAAGCAGTTAGTTTTAAGAATCAGATCCAAACACCCCCTTAATTCTGTATTCTCTATAAAAAAATACAAATCATATTCTGAAAATTTATAACAAGAGGAATTTAACAGTATTTTTCAAAATTATTTTTTTTATAAATTAATAAATAAAATATAGGTACAGCAGGGCACGAGAATGGTATACAACTCAACATCTTGTATTTACTTAAAGAACTTTATTTCAACACCAAGCACAAAAAAGAAATCAGGAGTCAGCTGTCCGCCCGCCCCCCTTTGCGCCTCCCTAGCATGATTCATGAAATGCAAGAAATGAAAAAAAAAACAGGGCGAATGAAAATGTGCGGGGCACCTGATGAGAAGGAGGCGCTGATGGTGATGATTAGAGTGAATGGTCTGTCTCTTCAATACCCGACCAACCCACCCATGCAGATTTCTGACTGAAGAATGAATTCGTTTCTGTGGAGACGATTTTGCGATTATTTAAATGGAGTTCTACTGGACAATGGGAGGAAGAAACCACATCGGAAAACGCCTGTACTGGTCACATGTGAAAAATTTCCAATAATTCAGAGTTCAGACTATTATTATCAAATCATACCTCAGACATTGTACGGTTTCTCTATTATTTGAGAGATGTAAGGTTTCTCTATTATTTGGCAACCATCATTTTCGACTTATCAGGTTTATAGCCAACTTTTTTACCAAACACGTAAATTTTGCTTTCGTACGCTAAATTGTGTAATAAGCTGAAAAAGTAAGGTTGAAGTTACTTTTCTAGCTGTATTGGCTGAAGTTACCGTAGATGACCATTTTAGCTATTTTTACATATTTTTTTCTTTATTTTGTTAATAAAATATATTTTAAAAATATTTTTTTCTTGTATCAGTAGAATCAGCCAATGCAGCCATTTCAGCCAGAATTTCATAAATTTCAGCAGAATCAGCCAGAGCAGCCGATTTTCGTGCTGCCAAACGGGCTCCTAATGTCAAATACGTAGTAATTAAATAGCTTTGGAAAATCAAAATGACAATCAAACTCTCGTACCTAAATATCACCCAATTAAGTCTATGAACTTATTTGATACATCCAAATTATCATTTTAGAAGGTTGCTTGTAGGTTTTCAGGTAACCATCACCACACCATTGTCCAGCCACACCACATCGAGTTTTTTCCCGTATTAATGTTAATTAATTAATTATTTACGAAAATAGGGTTGGGTTAAAAGTATTTACCAATATACTGCTGGGTTAATCATGGTCGGGGTAAGTCGCCCAACGGTTGGGCGACTTATAAGTCGTCAAACCGTTTGGCGACTTATAAGTCGCCCAACCGTTGGACGACTTTCCCTTAAGTAAAAACATCAGTCAGCCACAAAACAGAACGACGTAAACCCAATCTCCAAATTCCCCAAGCCGCAACGACGAAGGACGAACGACGACCGAGTGAACCTCCATCTTCGGCGAACCTCCATCTCCGGCGACCCCACTCCGACAAACCTCCATTTTCATCTTCAACACTCTTTCTTCTTTCTTGTAGGTAAATCAAACTCCATTTCATCTCATTTTGAACTTAGGGTTTTGAATGTTAAATTTTCGAATTTTTAGATTATGAAATGTTGAAATTTGATTTTAAACTGATTGTAAATTTTAAAGTGTATTTTGAAATATGAAATGTGGTATGTTTAAGTGTTGTCTGGACTGGTAATAGTCTAGTCTCTATGTATTTATAACTGTTCAAGTCTGATCTGCTTTGATTTGTTTAAGTTATGGTCTGATTTGGTCTAATCTGATACTGCAAATAGTCTCTAGGTATGGATTTTTTTCTCAAACCCGGTGAGTGTCCAACGGTCTCATATATGAAGATTTCATCCTTAAAACACAAATCTTACAAAATTTAAGGTGGCGTGGCATCATCCTAAATCTAAATGAAGATTTCACCCCGTTATCTCACCCGGGGCACCGGCCCTTACACGTGGCACCATTTATTTGGTTAAATTTGAAATGGTTCTTTTACGCATATACACGTGGCTTTTCTTTTCTGCTTAATCATTAAAACCCTCCAGCCTCTTGTTTAAGGCAGTCCTAAGACGTCGGTGAAGGAAATAAAGAAAGGGGAGTAAGACGACAATGAGTTCTTCGAGTGCTGAGTCCAGGTCGATGGATGCAAGAAGGTGAATTAAGAGGTGTGACTGTGGACTCCAAGCACCGGTGTGGAAAAGATTTTATGGATGCGGTCGTTTCTTGAGTGGTCAAAAGTGCAATTTCTTTGAATGGGTTGAGGATGAAGAATGTGGTTGATGGAGTATATGGCCCGGGAACCCCCGGCCCACAGACTCCTACTACTCCAATGAAGGCCCAATAGGCCCAGGAAGCACAACAGGCCCAAATCACGGCGCCCAAGGCACCAAGCAGCCCACCACGCGCACTAGGGGTGCCTTCGGCCCCCTGGCCGAAGGCTCTAATTCCCACAGGAGGGCCAAAACAGGAAAACAAAGTTATTGGGAAAAAACGGCGAATATCAGTAGCCCTCGGCAACTGGAGCCCTCGGCACTAAGGGGGTCCCCGGTACTCAGAGCCCTCGGCTAGTCATCTACATCCGAGGGCACCTTTCCCGACATAATATCCGCTCCACATGCGTATGGATCACCGTACCCTGTACAACGTCCCATCCAACAGCTGCATTAAATGCGGCCACATGTGTTTGCCAGCTCCAACCAGTTGAGGTGACCCCTCGGCCAATGAACGCTTGACACGTGTCCCTGCCCGGCATTTATTGTTACTATAAATAGCACCCCATTTCCCCATTTGTAACCACGCTGAAAACACTGAACACTTTCTAATATACTCTCTCTCTCTCTCTCTCTACACGTACTTGCTCTGACTTCTCTCTAGTTATTCTCCGTAATAACCCCTCGGATAAGCTACCCCCCGGGTACACTATCCATCATTTGGTGCTCTCGTTGAGAGGTCGAACAATCAAGTAAGAAACCCTTCCCCTCGACCAAACACAAAAACACCCATCTAAAATGGTGAGAACGACTCGTGCCAACTCCAAGAATGTAGAGGACAGGAACCTGGCCCTCGGCGAGGTCGACGTCCCCGAGGCCTCTAACAGGGCTCCCGGGGGCGGCGTCATCGCCGGGTTGGACCAGACGGCTGTCGACCTACGCCAGCAGATTCAACAAAATGCCCCCGATGCCCGCCTTGGCATCGAGGCCAAGAAGAAGGACCGGAGCGAGAATCAAGTTAGCCCTCCGGTCATCACCATCGACGTACAATCGGCGCTCTCCGCCTTCATCCAGACGCTCACCCAGAACCCGGGTGCCTTCGGCACTTTGGTTCCCCTCCAACCTCAGGTGGGGGAGAATATTATGCCTCCCCCTCATCTACGACCCCTCGGTAACCCGGTCCTCCGGATGGGGAACTCCGAGGGGGTCGTGGCCCAAGATACGGCTTCCCAGGAAGTCCAGTCCCCCGACCGCCACAACGAGAACAAGGAACAACTTCGGACCTCCGCCCTCGAGAGACTCGGAGGGGCGCAAGACCGCCGAGGGGTCCAAGACCGCCTCGGGGGGAAGGCGTTCCAAAGGCCTCAGGAAAGTGGCGGGTCCATCTCAAGGGCCAATGAAAGACGTCCCCCTCTGGACAAGGGCAAGGCACCTCTCCATGCCGACGACGCACGCCACCAAATCAATCAGGCCCACTCGGCCCGGGTCCATTCGCAGGGGGCGGAGGCCCTCCCGAAGGACCCCCAGGACGAAATCATTGCGGTCCTCCAGCGCCGGCTTGACGAGATGGAGGCCACCAAAGCCCACGCCACCACTTCTGCCCCTCACACAGACCTCAAGTATGAGGCGATGATGGCCAAGATGGAAGAAATGCAGAGGAAGATAGCCGAGGGCTCCGGGGAACCCACCATACAGCTCCGGACCCGGACGCCATTTACCCCAAGGGTATTGGCGGCCCGGATCCCGGAAAAATACCGAGGGCAGCTCATCAAGCCCTACGACGGGAAGACTGACCCCCAAGAGCACTACGGCAGGTATCAAAACAGCATGATCATGGTGGGGGCATCGGATGAATATTTGTGCCGCTGGTTCCTCTCCACCTTAGAGGGGCCGGCTTACGAATGGTTCAATCGATTGCCCGAGGGCTGTATTGACTCATGGCAAGAACTCGCCCAGCGATTCTTGACGCATTTTGCGGGAAGGCGCCGCACAAGAAAACACTTCTCCCACTTGCTAACAGTGAGGCAGAAGAAGGAAGAGACCCTTCGGGACTTCCTGGAGCGCTGGAGGACAGAGGCTGACAAAGTTGATGGCGCTGACGACGGGACCCTCCTGGCACTCCTACAAACAGTGCTCCGCCCCGGGAACTTCTCCAGAAGCCTCATCATTGAACCCCCCCGCGATTATATAAGGGCCCTACAGCGGGGGGACCGGTACGCCGAGGCCGAAGAGGTGGAGAAATGCCACCATGTCCCAGATCAGCAACACCCTCGACCGGACGACAAAGGTAACCGGGGGCCGGGAGCTCCCCGCCATCATCCCAAGGATTCTGCCCCCTCCGGTGATCGCCCCCGGCATGGCCAAACCAAGCCCGGGGGAGGCTACAAGGGGAACCCGAGGGCTTGGGCATAGCCTGTCCTCCTGGAGCACCCTCGGACACCATTGACGCACCCCGTCAGCGTCATCCTGAGATTTGATGAGGAGAGGGGCCTCATGGAGCGAGATTCACGCGCGCCCTCGGAAGTATTTGCCATCAATCCAAACTACCCCTACTGTCGTTTCCACCGACACCAGGGGCACAGGACCGATGATTGCCATCAGCTGAAGACGGCCATCGAGAGATTAATACAAGCTGGCCATCTGTCCCAGTTTGTCCAGGGCCCTCAGCAACAAGGCCCCCCTAATCAGGGGCCACCCCAAGGGCAAACTGCGAGAGCAAATGCATGGGTCAACCCCAACACCATCCCCTTCGGCAAGAAGAGGGAGATTGGAAATCTGGAGGAAGAGGAGGAGGAGTACCCCCGGTACCAAGAAAAGAAACGCCACATCCTCATGATTATGGGGGGAAATACCGGGGATGACTCTACGAGTCAGCGAAAGAAGTGGGCACAATCACTTTACGTGGGGGAAGTCACTCATATGCCCCCAGTAAAGCGGCTGAGGGAGGAACCCATTATCTTCACGAACGCTGATTTCCCCCTGGTATCCTCCCCACATAGGGATGCCCTCTTCATCCGGACGGAAATAAATGACACCATTATTCACAGAACTTACATTGACACGGGCAGCTCCGTCAATGTAATGTACCTCAGCACCTTCAGAGAGCTGCATCTGGAGAGGGGGTCCCTTCGGCCCATAAAGACCCCTCTTGCCGGCTTCACCGGCGACACCATTGATTCTGAGGGGGTCATAACCCTCCCGGTCATCTTCGGCGACGGCCTCCATAGAGCTAAGCTCGAAGTGGATTTCGTTATCGTCAACATCGACTGCGCCCACAACATCATCCTCGGCCGGCCAGCCCTCGAGGATCTCGAAGCCGTCATCTCCATGAGGCACCTCTGCCT